CCAGTCGTAGGGCTCAGGATAAGTCTTAGGATGCTTCGCAGCTTTGCTATGTCTCAGGGCCAAATTCGCTGAGTCCCAGGTGTTGAAAATGCTGGAATTTCGGATGCACCGATGTCTCACAAAGCCCTCAAACCCCCGCGATCCCCCCGCAGAGTGATGGGACAGATCGAGCACAGTTTTTTCGCTGGCGAAAAGAAAGCAGCTTGCGGTTGAATCTCCCTGGCTTGCGCAGGTGGGCTCGAGTGACGAGATCATGCAGCAAGCTCTGGATCTCCGACTGGAAAACAAGCTGGAGCCCACCCAGAATCTGTTGGAAGTGTCTGGACCTCAAGTCTTGGGATCCTTCTTCCAGAGACATCGGCAGCTTCATCTGCCTCTCAGGAGCCTCACCTTTGCCCCGCTGGAGATTTTCATGATCCCCGGCCTGGTGGCTTCGATTCTGGGCTTCTATCCCGACGCTGCCGAGGCACCACTCAACAGAAACCCTTCTCGAAGCCCCTATTCTAAAGTACATATTTAAAGGCCCCTATACTGTGCTCCCTATATTCTACAGTACATAGTTAAAGGCCCCTAAGCCGTGCTCCCTAAGCCCCGAGTCGTTACAAAAGGCCCCCCCAACCCCCTGGATCAGGTCGAGGAGGCGGCGGGTGTCGGTGCCCCGGTCGTCATGAAAACGATTGAGGCACAGAATTTTTCACATACCATATATTGTGTCGCCAATGCCGCATAGACCATGTGTATCACAGCGCGCCATATAGAATATAGAGACATTATAGACCCTTCCATACTCATAGATACACATATTCCGGATGAAATCCGCCATACATACGAGATTTGTAATGGGCTGGGTCTGGAAAGACCTGAGGCTGATAGGAAGGGGCTTTGCGGCCGCCTTTGCTCGGAGGCTTTCGTGGAAGACAAGGAAACGAGGGCCACACGGGCTGAGCGCCTCAAGCGACTCGCTTCCGGATTGACCGACGTGTCAGGTGTGATGTGGGATGTTGTGGGTATTGCAAGGTGATTTGGTCTTTGAGGCTCTGCAACGGGTTCCAGAAACTTCAGGATCCTGCTTTTTGCGATGTTTCGGGGGCATTAGGAAGTATGTACTGTAGCTGCCGGAAGATGCAGACCACAGGACAGGTCACTGTTTCCAACTGTTGCAGTCAGCCTTGAAGATCCCTGGCTGGCAGGGATGCTCCAAGCTCAATATCCGAGCCACTGAAACCACAAGCCGCGCCACAGCCGCCAACGCTCTGCTTCCCGACGCTGCCAACTAAGGAGCGTGCTGGATGCCAATGCGGACAGGGCCAAGGAGCTTGCCCAAGAGGCTCTCGAGAGATCGCAGGGGGTATCTAAGAATCCAAGCTTAAGCCTAGCACGCATATGCATGGGAGACGGACAGGTGGAGAAGTCACAACGCTGATGTGGGCACAGCTTCACGCACAATGCCGGAATCATAAGTGCCAGCGTGTTGACAAACCAGGCCCCAACCTAGATCGCGAGCACAGCTGTCCGCAAGAGTCGGGCATATCTCCTGCACTTGCGGTGATTGTCCGTGGCCAGGATTTGGGCTTAGGGATTTCGAGGTGCTCGATATTCTTCCACGGAGGCTCTGTTGAACGGCAGTGTAGTCGTAATCGGAGAGGTGTCAAGTGGCCGGAACCGCATTGGAATCAAGCCTCATCAAGTCTCCATTTCAATGCTCACCACCATGAGCTTTCGTCGCTTTTGTTGTGGTGGTCTGGTGGCATAGCGATCTCCATATCCAGAAAAGCATTACAGTCATTACAGTGGCAGCAGATCACTGCAAGCATATTCCGTGGGCAGGTGTACAACCGCATCCCTGACCGCATCAGCTGCTCGTCTAGCTCATAGCAGCCATCGTGATATGAAGCTGCATTGTTTTTCACAATTGATACGGTTTATTTTTTGTAGCAGCACTGCTTATGCGCCGGCTCGTGAGTTTGTATCTACATAGAACTGTGCGTGTGCGCAATCAATAGCAAAAACATTGTTAATGTGAGCTGTTCGTAGTGTTGGTGGCGGATTCGGGTGTTCAACGGCGTTCAAAGCGTCAGCTCCGGGATTTTTCCGTGCGTCTCGGTCACGTTTGTTGGTGCTGGCGGTCTTGTTCCGAGCGGCTGGCAAGCATTGCCAAGCCAGGCTTGAGTTTGTGGCAAGAAGTTGGGGCTAGGATGGGCCCTGGTTCGAGTTACAGTGACGAAACGAGAAGTCTGCGCAGGAGTCCTCAGTGTTGTTGCGCATATATATATATGACTATCTTTGTTTATTTGGCTTTGCAGATAAACATGTCATGTAGGAGACCCGGGTCTCGCCACTCCGAGCCAAGCATAGTCATTAATGACGAGCTTTCCGAGATGACCGAAAGGTTTCTGGTATGCGTCTGCTTTCACTGCCTCAAGCTTACCCGGCCCCAGAACTGCGATCAAAGGTCTGGCCATCAACCTCTCTGCGCCCACAGTGCACGTCCCTGTCGCCAGCGTGGGCCAGGCAAGGCCCCCCGGGCCCCAAGCCATGGCTTTGGGCCCTTCCCAGAAGCTCAGAGCCACCAGGGAAGCGGGCAGCGAGCGGTCAGCTTGAGCCTCGCAGATGCTCTCAGATGTCTCAGTTGCGGCCCATGTCCGGCACGGCCTTCACCGCTGCACAGGCTGTGATCACTTTGGGCCAGCTGACCCTGGAGACTCCAGAGCCGTGCCTCTTCGAGTGCTGCTTGGCATTGCTTGGCCTTGGCTCCAGATCTGGCTGACTTGGCCCGCTACTAGAAGGATACGAGTGTTGGGAGTCAGAAAAATCCGGGTGTGCCGCTGGGCGGTAAGGCGCTCTCACTTCTTTGTGGGGAACGGGCTGTATTGACAAATGGAGCTGCCAAGGGAATGGGAGCGTTTGCAGTCGGTTGGGGTTGGGCAGCGCTCGCCAGAACATTCCACAAAATGGTTCGATCCAGCCATGGCACCTGTTTCCGAGGCTTACAGTTTGAGCTGCAGCTCAAGAACACGCAGGTCTCCACGATGTTTGCAACCGGTGATGTGTTTGACACTCGAACGCAGCTGGTCTCAGGCAACATTGGAGTCGAGTGGCAACATCTCATGAGCTCAGGACGTGGTGGAACCGCTTCCGATTACCATTTCGCTCAAGCAGCTCGCGCGGATATTCGGAGAGAGAGAGCACATGATGCTTGAGAAGGCTTCTGAACTTTCCAGAGAGGAGCACGTGCTACAGTGTCCTTCCAAGGTATGCAGAGGCGCCCAAGGATGTTTCCATTGTTGTCGCCATCAAGGCACAAGCAATGCGCAGAAGGTTGAAAAATCGTTTCGATACCTTGGAGACGCCGTCGCAGTAGTATGCTTCAACACACCTCAAGCTGCCCGAAACCCTGCCGGCCCCGAGACACCGACAGAGTCATCAGTCAGCGCTGCTTGCAGATTGGGCACCTGAGCTTGTCGGCCTCGCCAAATTCTGTGAACCTCCTGATGGGACTCCCACAAGCAGTTGTGGACATGCTGACTCTTGGCAGCAAGTGTGAGCAGCTGGCGTGGAAGAGGTGAGAGTGCAGTTCAAGAGTGGAAACTGTGCTTGCCGAAGTGCTGATCGCAAGGACGGTGCCAATAACAGTCCGGCAAAAGAAGCCCGCAGTTTTGGACAAGGAATCGCGGGATTGCCGATACTGGTCAGAGCAGAGTTCGCGGCAAATGCCTCGATGTTTAAGTAGCCGACCCGTTTGTGTCGGACTGCCTTTCGAGCTGCTGGGACACTTCATAACCTCAGATGCTGTGGACTGGGCTAGGAAGTAAACAGCTTTGTTATGGTTTCGTCACGCACAGCAGCAACCAATCAGATGGCAAACAAGTTGCGCCAGCAGGGAAACCAAGCTTGGAACATGGGAGTAGACCAAGAACATCGCCAACTTGGCATCATTTCTTCTATATCATAACTGTGCATTCTTTGCTGCAGTGTGTGTCGGTGCAAAAAATGGTTCGGCGCAGGTGTTCAGAAGCACGACTCATGAAATGACAGAGGTAGTGAGAATCCCAGGAAGCCGAGCGAGTGAGAGACAAAGACTTCGACGAGGCTCTCAATACTCGCCTCATAATGACCTCGTCTTGACTGTCTCCGCGCTTCTGTACGGCGGAGCACTGATCCTCCTGGCGTGGAGAAAGAGAGGGAGAAAAGGAGAAACAGACAGAAACGCACCTGCAAGTTTCATTGAAGCCTCTCTAAAATCGTGGGGAAGTGGGCTGTTGGAACAGCCACCACAACTCCATGGGGGGATGCAAGAGAGGAGAGGAGAGCACCCAGAAAATCCCAGAAAGATAGGAGAGCAGAAGTGAGACCAGGAGGTACTGGGTAGTAGTATAATGTACTATAGCAATAATATAGTGCATTATTTGTACAAATATAGTATATTATATTATTACAAACTATGAGGAGAGAAGAGCTGTTCCAATGTGGAAGGCCCCTGAGGCTGTCCCGGTGCAGAAAGAGCTGAAGCGGACAGGCCAGCCCATTGCAATGACTCTGCGGAAGATGCCTGATATATATATATATATGTATATATATATATATGTATATATATATATGTATATATATATATAGATCATATGGCATGGTGATTTTGCGAGTCCTGGGGTGCTGCTGTTCGAGACACGAGCTTGAAGCCACAGCAGTTGGAAGGGTGTGTGTGTGTGTGTGTGCTGCAGGCAGTGCCGTCGGTTTCAGCGCGACCGAAGTGCTTGGCGAAGATTTCGTCGCGTTCAAAAGGCGCGGCAATTCATCAAGGGCCAGCTGCGCAGTGTCTCGTGTGACGCCTACTTCGAGTGCACAACCGCAGGAAGTTGCCAGCAGTACATATCGCAACAGTGCTCTGTTCAGTCCATCTCGCAAGGTAGACTTTCATGGGTGAAGTGTCACCCTGCTTCCCTCAAAACCTCCGGCACGGGCTTCCTTCCCCCAGATCAGCAGGGCCGAGGAGCTGCAGAAGAAGCCCATGCGGACCAGCGTGACTTGAATTGTAAAGGCATCCTCCGGCATCGCAGCTTTTGCACTTGTCTTACTTTGGGGCGATAGCGGCATGCGACATTGAGAAAGACAGAGATAGCCAGGGCAACCCAGCCGAGGTGTCACTGGCCTTCGATGATGCGACCTTCTCCCTCAGCGACTCGATCATGCCGCTCATGCGCTTGAAAATGGAGGCCATGCCTCCCGGGCTGCAGGTCAGTGCTACCGGGCAGCATGGCACCTTACGGAATCATAGCCTCAATCTCCATTGCAAATGCGCCCCTGTGTGGGTGGCGCAACTTCCCCAAGCATCCAATGTCTTCATTTACAAGCAGACGGCATCTGCATCATCTTTACGCCGAGGTTGAGGGTGGAAAAGTGGACGTCAAGCTCATGGAGTCCAGCCTCAGCATCGACGTGTTGAATACACGGTCGGGCACCCGGGAGCCATTCGTCTTCTTTTGCTGCTCAACGACTACCGGTATCACTGCCATCCAAGCTTGCGCCGAAGTCTCGAGAGTCACACCTGGTAGGACAGCCTGGCGCTAAACCCTAAGCCCTAAACTGTTCGTGTTGTGCAATCTGACGAATGCTCTGGTTTCCAGGCATGGCGATTGGGAGCCCTTTCTGGAGCGCTTCGATTTCGGCGTGTCCGTAGTGATGTCTGAGAGGATGCGCATCTCCCTGTGGCTGGGCTTAGAAGCCTCCTTGGATCTCCCGACTTTGCGGAAGGTAGTCATCCACACTTTTTTTGCTTTAGTGCTAAGAGGCTTCATCCTCGTCTCCTCCTCCTTTCTAAATTATAACAAACCCTAAAGCCTATAGGGCCTATTCGCCCTATATACCCTAGGGCCCCCAAAAAGGCACGCGCTCGGGCCTCTCCACTTGAACCTCGTCCCGAAGCCGACGCGGCAAATCCTGGAGTTGCTTCCCTTGCTGCTCACGAGCCTCAGGTCGGGGCGACATGCAAAAACTTCGAGTCTTGGGGGATCAGATACACTGTTATAGCAGGGTATACTAGAACTATCTATATCTATATCTATATCTATATCTATATCTATATCTATATCTATATATATATATATATTCCATTAACATAGTAGGTTATAATTGCATTGTAGTAGATTATAGTATTATGTAGTGCGGAATTTAAAGAGTGGCTGTGATGTTTAAAGGCCTCCGCAATCATCGACCGAAGCAGAGAAGAAGCTCCTTGACAGAAAGTATGCATGTCGGTAGACTGCTAGTGGGGCACGCCGACACGTAGTCTTGCTCGTCAGAGCAACAGCTCAGCCCGTGGTCGAAGGACATCCTAAGACCCAAGATCTCTCCGAAGCATATCGGAATGGCCTTTTGTTTGCCTCTTTCCTCGCAAGCCCTCCCTCCCTAGCTGTTTTTGGGATTCAGCTCCGAGGCCTGATGAGAGCTCGTCAGCGGCAGATTCGGGTTCGGAAAAGCTTCGCGTGGTGAGCTTGTGGGGCGGACAGCTGGAGGTCCTGTGCATTGGCGCCCGAGCCTGGGACCCACTTATTATGCTGTTGGCCGTCTATGATGGGCCATGATTGTTTTGGTCTGTCTATCAGTCGATCAGCAGTCTCACGCAACAGCGATGGCAGTATATTCGTAGCTGGGCGGAGAGATGCTGTCCTGTGGTCCATGGACATCTCAGGAAATGCAGAGGCCAAAGTGGTGATCCAACCCACCGGCTCCCAGTGGGTAGCCTTGGACGACAAGATCAGTGCACTCACGCTGCAACCCGCCCACTGATCTTAGTAGAATGCAGGCTGCTTGCTACAGTCTAGAGATATGACAATCAAACGATATATATATATATAGATATATGTATATATATGTATATATATATACACACATTATATACATGTATGTATGTATGTATGTATGTATGTATGTATGTATGTATGTACGTATGTATGTATGTATGTAGGTAGGTATGTATGTATATATATATATATATTATGTAAATTCCTTAAATATACTGTAATATGTTATATTGTGTTGTATTTTCTGGTGTTATGTTACATTCGACTGTATCATGCTTATGTTTATCATATTTTTCCAGGATTCTGCTATGCTATATTATATGAGATCAGATTATGCCATTCTGTAATAAATACCTTATGCTCTGTTTGAATATAGCATAAAATACAGTAGGTTATGTCATGTTATGTAATAGGATATGATGTTGTACTATGCTGCTGTGTCATATTATAACACTTCACATGGTTTTACATTGCAGTACATTTTATGATGTTCTACTATGCTGACTTAGAGTACATACGTGCATTCTATCTATCTTTATACATATATATATATGGTAGTTG